GAAATTGCCAAGCAGGACCTTCATTACTCAGGAGGAAAAGGCACTCTCAGGACATAAGCCTATGAAAGACAGGCTTACTCTTCTGATGTGTGCCAATGCTAGTGGTGATTGCAAAGTGAAGCCTTTATTGGTGTATCACTCAGAAACTCCCAGAGCATTCAGGCAAAAGAATATCCTCAAGGCCAATTTGTGTGTGCTGTGGAGGGCAAACAGTAAGGCATGGGTCACTAGGGACTTTTTCTATGACTGGTTACACCATGCATTTGCCCCCAATGTGAAAAATTACCTAATTGAAAAGAAATTAGACCTTAAGTGCCTCCTGGTATCAGACAATGCCCCTGGTCATCCTACAGACTTGGCAGAGCGACTTTCTGGGGACATGAGCTTCATTAAGGTCAGGTTTTTGCCTCCTAATACCACTCCTCTCCTGCAGCCCATGGACCAGCAGGTCATTTCCAACTTCAAGAAACTGTACACAAAAGCTATGTTTGAAAGGTGCTTTGAAGTGACCACCGATACTCTATTGACTCTAAAGGAGTTTTGGAAGGATCACTTTAATATCCTCAATTGTGTAAACCTTATAGGTAAGGCTTGGGAGAGAGTGACTAAGAGGACCTTGAACTCTGCCTGGAAAAAACTGTGGCCAGAATGTGTAGACAAAAGGGATTTCGAAGGGTTTGAGGCTAACCCTGAGAAGCCTATGCCAGTTGAGGAATCCACTTTGTCATTGGGGAAGTCCTTGGGGTTGGAGGTTAGTGGGGAGGACGTGGAAGAGTTGATGGAGGAGGACAATGACGAACTAACCACTGATGAGCTGCTAGATCATCTTCAACAGCAAGAGGCCAGACCTGAGGAAACTGCTCCGGAGGAGGGGATAGAGAAATTGAAGAAGTTGTCTACTTCAAAGATTAAGGAAATGTGTGCAATGTGGCTTAAAGTGCAAAGCTTTTTTGATGAAAATCACCCTCACACAGCTACTGCAAGCCGTGTTGGCAACCTGTACAATGACACTGTTGTGAACCACTTTAGGAAAGTCATAAAGGAACGAGAGGTACAGGCCTCTATGGACAGATATGTTGTGCGACAGAAGTCCAGTGACTCTCAACCTGGTCCTAGTGGCATTAAAAGGAGAAGGGAAGTAACCCCGGAAAAGGACTTGCTACCTCAAGTCCTAATGGAAGGGGATTCCCCTTCTAAACAATAACACCATCAACACTCTCCCCTCCTCCCATCCCATCAATCATCACCAGATCTTCAATGAAGGTAAGTGTCATGTAACTGTGCATGTCTTCTTCAGTTTGTGTGTATTAAAATTAATATTCTAAACAATAGGTTCAACACTCTCCCCTCCTCCCATCCCATCAGTCATCACCAGATCTTCATTAAAGGTAAGTGTCAATTATTCTATTGTTATTATTATATTGTTATTGTTGTTATTGTAATTATTCTATTGCATTAAACTTAATATTTCATGTGGTAAAAGTTTTTTTCATACTTTTGGGTGTCTTGCACGGATTAATTTGATTTCCATTATTTCTTATGGAGAAAATTGATTTGCTTTCCGATAATTTTGGATTAATATCGCGAACCAGGGGTCCACTGTATTGGCAACCAACATCAGCTACCCGACCCATAGTCAGGTCATCCCTATTTAGCCCACCCAGATAATTTCTCGGTCCCGTGAAGTCCGCCAATTGGAAGTCTGGGACAGAGACTTGATTGCAGTTATCTGGGTAATTCCATGATAAATTGAACCTAAGTGATTTGTGATCACTTTCCCCAAGCTCATCATTAACTTCAAGATTATTTAGTGATTCTTTGTTGGCAAGAACCAAGTCAAGCAGTTTGTTTCCCCTCATTGGTTCTGTCACAAAATGTCTTAAAAAGCAATCCTGAACCATATCAAGAAAGTCACTAGATTCAAGATTTCCTGTCACATTGTTCTAATCTCCCATTAACACAACATTTTCACATCTAAATGCCTTATGAATTTCATCCCATAGCAGCCTACTGCACTCCCTATCAGGGTTTGGGAGCCTATAAATCACAACCAAAATTAATTTTTCATGACCTTCGAGAAACTGTAGCCAAACAGATTGTGTCAGATGTTCCTAATCTTATATCTTGTCTAACACAATTTAAATTATCTCTGACATACATTGCCACTCCATCACCCTTCCTGTTGGCCCTATCAGTGGAATAGTTTATAACCCTGTATGTTGCATTCAGAAGACATTTCTCTATTTTTCAAGTTGAACCAGGTTTCTGTTATAGCAATAATATCTATATTACCTGCACTTGCAAGTAATCTTAGCTCATCTATCTTATTTCTTAGACTCCTACTATTTGTATAGTAAACCTTCAGGGAGCTAGTCACTCGTTGCCCTCTACTATCTCTGTTTATTGAACAATTACTTTGCCTTTACTACCAACTGTACTTTGAATACTGCCTTATAACATCCCTGGGGTATCCTGGTAATAACTGATGTTTTCAACCCTAGTACTGCTGCCTGATTGTTTCCCACAAACACCCATATCTCTATAATCTATCAGTTTAAAGTCCTAGACAAGTCATCAATGACCCCCTCAATCGAACAGGCTAATGCAACCACTCCAGCCCCCACACAGATTAACCCCATCCCTTGCATACATATCATGTTCTCCATAGAATTTGTCCCAGTTATCAATGACTGGGATTGCAAGTTCCTTGCAGTACCTGTCTAGCCAGCAATTTATACCAATTGCCCTAAACATCTATTCATTGCCCACTCCCCTTCTAGGCAAGATGGTACGTAGGATTGGGATCCCTCCCTAAGACCTGACTACTTCTATGGCTGACCTGTACTTATCCAGCAGCTCCTGTCTCCTGCCATTCCTGATGTCATTTCCACCAGCACTAAGACAAATAATGGGCTTGTTCCCATTACCTGACATAATATCCAACCTGCTGACTGTCACCAACACCAGCTCCTGGGAGGCACACCATCTGTCTGACCTTCCTATCTCTGTTACAAAAAGCAAGGTACATATATATCTTACCTGAGAGTCTCCCACAATCAGAATATCTTACCTTGATAAGCAGGGGAGTTAGCGGTACCTTTAACCTCACTAACCATTGAAGTACATTCGTCCTGGAGGACAGAGAATCAATTTCCTACCTTCACACCTTCTCTATTAACCTTCCTTATCTTTCTTCTTCCTGAATTGTGAACCATTTGCCACTTAAAGCAGCTGCCACTCACCAACTCACTGTTGGTATCCTTTTCCTCCTTACCAGCTCCAACCATCTCACATTCACTCCCAAACCCATCTAGGCAAAGCTTCAGCCTCCTATTTTTTTCCTGAAGAAGTAGAACCTTCTTCAACACTTTAACCTAAGATTCTAAAACACTACAGCAAGCCATGGTCTCTGTAACAACCTACGCTAATTCCCAAACAGCTTAGGACAGTGGCCTCACGTGACCACTGACTGCAGCGTACTGACCGCTGACCGCAGTGCTGGCTGTCTCCCACTGTGGCAGGATGACCCAAAAACAAAGAAACACTTCTACCATCATTCACACTGTCTTTGCAGAGGAGTGCAGATACGACAATTCAGATGTCGCTCCAAACAGCCAATATGCCAAACCCCCTCTAAAGCACAGGCATTGTACTTCCCACATTCAGGACTCGAGTCCAGCTAACCAATTTCCCTGAATCCCTTCACAAAAATATTACTTTGCTCATAATTCAACAGCTCATCAAGTCCCAGAAACCATTTGTCTCCACTCCTATCTAACGTGCTAACGTATGCCTGCTGTATGTCCAAGCCCCTTGCACACAAAATCTCTTTTACCCATCCCTCCATCCTTTCCTAGGATGACTCTGACCCCTCCTTCTCTCCACTACAAATATATACACCCTCCAAGTCGTCCTATTTTGCTCCATCCTCTATAAATGACCAAACCCTCAACCCCTCCTCAGCCCTCTGAATAATACTTTTACTAACTCCACACCTCCTAATTTCCAAACTATGAATTCTCTGCATAATATTTATGCCACACATTGCCCTTAGACACAACATCTCCACAGCCTCCAGCTTCCTTCTTGCTGTAGCATTTACAACCCATGCTTCACACCCATATAAGAGTGTCAGTACCACTATACTCTCATACATTCCCTTCTTTGTCTCCATGGATAATGTTCTTCATCTCCACAGATACCTCAATGCACCACCCACCTTTTTTCCTACATCAATTTTATAATTTACCTTGCCCTTCGTAAATCCATCTGCAGACACTTTTACATACAAATATCTGAATACATTCACTTCTTCCATACTCCCTCCCTCTAATCTGATATCCAATTTTTCCTTGTCTAAATCATGTGATACCCTCATCACCTTACTCTTTGTTCACTTTCAACTTTCTTTATGCCACCTCCCAAATTCATCCACTAAGCTTTGCAACTTCTTTTCAGAATCTCCCAAAAGCACAGTATCATCAGCAAACAGCAACTGTGTCAACTCCCATTCTGTATCTGAATCCACATAATTTAATCCCACCCCTCTCCCCATCACCCTAGCATTTGCCTCTTTTACAACCCCATCTATATACATGCTAAACAACCACGGTGACATTATACATCACAGTCTAAGACCTACTTTTACTGGAAAGTAATCTCCCTCTCTCTTACACACTCTAACCTGAGCCTCACTATCTTCATAAAAACTTTACAACAATATCTGCCACATTGCTTCCCGATCTGCCCTATCATTAGCCTTTTCTAAATCCATAAAAGCAATGAAAACTTCCTTACCTTTATCTAAATATTCATTATATGCTTCAATGTAAACATTTCATGTACATATCCCCTACCCATTCTAAAGCTGCCTTGTTCATCTGCAATCCTGCTCTCTGTCTTCTAATTCTTTCAATGATAACCCTACCATACACTTTACCAAGTATGCTCAGTAGGCTTATTCCCTTATGTTATTTCATTATTATTATTATTACAAAATCCTAAATCTGTAGAGGGATATACAATGTATAGGAATGGGAAGCAATTAGATTTGAATCAAGGAAGGGGAGAAATTTTAACAAATAAATATATGATTCTTGACTTATCTTTACCAAAGAACTAAGGTCTCCATAAATGCACAAAATGAACATAAAAGTATACAAGCATTTGGCAAAAATGAGAAAAAAAAAGGCATTTACTTAAAATGTTTGAATATTTGCAAAGACCAATCTTGTAAGAGCAAAATATGCTAAGTTAGAATGTCTAATTCAGAACATCACAACCTGGGGCCCTACTGCATTTAAAGTCCCACTTGTATCTACGTGCCTCAGTCACAGACTTGAATATTTATAACTCAGGCATTCATAAGTTGTACATCAGTGTATAAAGTAAACACTGCCTCAACTATCATCTTAGGATGTAATAGCAATAAATTCTGTAGAAATCTTAATATCATAACTTTACCTTTGCATCCACATCTGGGCAACCAGCAGATATTGTGTCAATGGTTGAGTGTAACTCTTCAGTTTGAGCTTTTAAAGCTGTTACTTCATCCTCAAGAAGAGAGTGAGAATTCTCTAGTTGCTTTTTCTCTGCTAACCACTTCTCTTGCTCACAAGCAAGCTGTGATAAACATAAAGATGGTAATTATTTAGGGCGAGCATTGCAATGAACACCTGTAAATAAATGGAGATCTACAAATCTTTAGACAATATGACTATATGTAAAAATGCAATGAGAGAAACAGTAATTGTTCAATTAACAATAAAAACTGGTAAGTTTCAGTGATGTACACATGGATAAATTTGCAAAGATGTTAAAAAGAGTAAACCCTCACATAACACAGGGGCTACATCCTTGAAAACTGGTGTGAAACATAAACTGCATTTTGTGAAGTGAAGAACACAAGAGAAAAATATGGTCACATTTCACACAACTCTAAATTTACCACCTAAAATTTTTTTACTATTGTACTAGGCAAAAATTACTTCAAAGTAACTTACCTCACATTCTGTTAGTCATTACTTAAAGCCACTGTAGTGCATGGGGGAAGATCAATGTGGGCCTACATGGCCAGGTTGGATGTATTCACTGGGCCAGTTCAGTACATGTGAATATCATGATAACAGCCATATTTCCTTCCCATATTTTAAGAAACATACATACATATATACACAGTGGTACCTCAGTATACATCTGCTTTGGAATAAGTCCAACTTGGTATACATCCTGTTTGGACGCAAAAATTTTTGCCTGGTATACGACCTTTGTTTGGAATACAACTCGCATGTTAGAACTTGTATGGGTCAAAATGAGTCACAACAATGTGAGCTACCCTTGTTTACCTCTCTCTTGAGACAAAGCCATGGCTGCCCACTAGCGTCAGTATGCTCGTTGCTACCATTCAGTGAACAACCTGGAGGCACTTGAGTGGCAGTTTATTATCCAGGAGGTATTTCTTCACGCTCAGGCAAAACACTTCATTGAACCAATCAAGGAAAATTTTCCTTGTAACCCATGCGTTACTGTTAGCCTTCACACTCAATTTACTCTTGGCGACACTGTTTTTCTTCAACACTCTGGGATTTTCAGAGTGATACACCAGTAAAGGCTTCACTTTGAAATCCTCACTAGAAATCCACCACAGAACATAGGCTTGTGTCCTGGCAGTGCCATTTCCTTCTGCATGATGTAGGTCCTCTTTGGCATTTTCTTCCAAAAGAGGCCTGTTTTGTCACAACTGAACACTGGTTGGGGGACGAATCCTTCAGCCTCTATAGAGTCCTTGAATTCCTGCACGAATTTTTCAGCCACACAGTTGTCAGAACTGGCAGCCTCGCCATGCCTTACCACACTGTGTAAGCCACTATGCTTCTTAAATCTCTCAAACCAGCTTTTGCTGGCCTTAAATTCACTAACATCAGCACTCATTCCAGGCATTTTCTTTACAAGATCGGCATGCAACTGCCTTGCCTTTTCACAAATTATCGACTGCATAACACTATCTCCTGTTAATTGTTTTTGGTTGATCCACACTAACTACAAATTCTCAACATCTATGAGTATTTGCGGTCTCTTTTTGGTAAGCATATCTACCCCTTTCACAACAAAAGCTTCCTTGATTTCCTTTTTCTTCGACACGATGGATGTGATCATTGAGTTCAGCCCCACACACTCCACTTTCATATTTTGCAATTTCTTTCTTTCCTTAATTCTATCGTGTTTCTCACCTTCTTTACCAAAGGGCTTTCATTAGAAGCTTTCTTTGGGCCCATGGTGGCTTATTTAGCAGTTACAAGCACAAAAAACAATGGATTATTATGAAATGTATGAATGCATGGGGTGATGGTCACTCGCCAACAAACAATGCCACACTTACTCCTGAATGTTGTGTGGAAACCTTCATGCATACCCGGCCACTCCCAGCTGCACGGACGCGTTCCGTACGACAGACGATTCGCAAGGCAAATCACGAACCGTGAGACTTTATTTTGACGAAAAAAGTTACCAAAAGACAAAATTCACAAACCGCGAGGCTCATGAAACTCAAGGGTCCACTGTATATTACTTGCCACATCATAAAAACAATTATAATTCTTTAAAGAAACATGGTACAAAGATGATTTTTTTTATTTTATTAACCCTTTGACTGTTGCAGGCCCCTTTCTGAAACTGTCATTCTATGTCGATAAATTTTTGAAAAAAAAATTTATTTTTCTTATGAAATGATAGAGAATCTTTTCCCAATGGTAATGACACCAAAAGTTCGAAATTTGGTCGAAAACTCATGGAATTACGCTCCCGTGAAGTTAGCGGTCTCGGTGACATATGCGTATCAGCGATTTCGCCAACTTTGAGCCCTGTTTTCAGCCAATTCCCTTGTTCCAGTTGACTTAACTCATAGCTATTTCTTTAGAACTCGATTTTATCTATCAGCTGAGTACAAGAAACTGCCCATTTACCAATTTGTAGATTGAGTGTGACTGGAGTGGTTGAGGCAGTGGTAGAGGCAGTGATAGAGGCAGTGATAGAGGCAGTGGTAGAGGCAGTTATAGAGGCAGTGGTAGAGGCAGTTATAGAGGCAGTGGTAGAGGCAGTTATAGAGGCAGTGGTAGAGGCAGTTATAGAGGCAGTGGTAGAGGCAGTGGGTGAGGCAGCGGTTGAGGCAGTGGTAGAGGCAGTGGTAGAGGCAGTGGTAGAGGCAGTGGGTGAGGCAGCGGTTGAGGCAGTGGTAGAGGCAGTGGTAGAGGCAGTGGTAGAGGCAGTGGGTGAGGCAGTGGGTGAGGCAGTGGTAGAGGCAGTGATAGAGGCAGTGATATTTACTAACATATATGTTATAAATAATAATAGTACATTATGAATAACATTTATTATTATTATTATTATTATTATTATTATTATTATTATTATTATTATAAATGTTATTAATATTAACATGTACTATTATTATTTATAACATATATGTTAGTAAATACCACTGCCTCACCCACTGCCTCTATCACTGCCTCACCCACTGCCTCTATCACTGCCTCTTCCACTGCCTCACCCACTGCCTCACCCACTGCCTCACCCACTGCCTCTACCACTGCCTCTATCACTGCCTCTATCACTGCCTCTACCACTGCCTCACCCACTGCCTCACCCACTGCCTCTATCACTGCCTCTACCACTGCCTCAACCACTCCAGTCACACTCAATCTACAAGCACCAAATACAATGAATTATTGTGAAATGTTTGGAAGAGCACGGAGACTAATACTCACTCCAGCATAAACAAAGCCACACTGACGATGCGTCAACCACTTCCTCCACCACTGCTTCAACCCTCATATTTTTGTAAAATTTCCTTCTTCAATTCTATCGTATTTATTATTATTATTATATTTATTATATTATTATTATTATTATTATTATTATTATTATTATTATTATTAGCAGTAGCAGTAGCACAAATGTTTGATTCTTTGCTGTGTTCAAGAGTAAACACATGATGTCACCTTCCGATACCTGTCCGAATAGCCATTCCAATATGCAGTCATAAATGGGTTGACATTATTTATGCTGTAGTTTAATATCAAATAATGAACAAACACAACACTCACCACACAGTGGTGGGAGGGCTGGCTGCCAGTTGTGGGGGGTCAGAGGGAGGGTAGTAGGGACTCAGTGGTGGAGGCAGTGGTATTTAATAATATACATGTTATTAAGCAATAACGTATGTATTTAGTACAATTTACGACGTTTTCATGTATTTTATGATTGTTCATGGTTCGACAAGTTAAGGAAGCAGTATTGTATTATATTTCCCTACAATATATTGGGGCACCAAACATTCGCGATTTTTCAACATTCGCGAGGCTCTTCATCCCCTAACCCTCGTGAACGTTGAGGGAGACCTGTATATATATTTATTATTATTATTATTATTATTATTATTATTATTATCATTAACACACTGGCCAATTCCCACCAAGGCAGGGTGGCCCGAAAAAGAAAAACTTTCACCATCATTCACTCCATCACTGTCTTGCCAGAAGGGTGCTTTACACTACAGTTTTTAAACTGCAACATTAACACCCCTCCTTCAGAGTGCAGGCACTGTACTTCCCATTTCCAGGACTCAAGTCCGGCCTGCCAGTTTCCCTGAATCCCTTCATAAATGTTACTTTGCTCACACTCCAACAGCACGTCAAGTATTAAAAACCATTTGTCTCCATTCACTATCAAACACGCTCACGCATGCCTGCTGGAAGTCCAAGCCCCTCGCACACAAAACCTCCTTTACCCCCTCCCTCCAACCTTTCCTAGGCCGACCCCTACCCAGCCTTCCTTCCACTACAGACTGATACACTCTTTAAGTCATTCTGTTTCGCTCCATTCTCTCTACATGTCTGAACCACCTCAACAACCCTTCCTCAGCCCTCTGGACAACAGTTTTGATAATCCCGCACCTCCTCTTAACTTCCAAACTACGAATTCTCTGCATTATATTCACACCACACATTGCCCTCAGACATGACATCTCCACTGCCTCCAGCCTTCTCCTCGCTGCAACATTCATCACCCATGCTTCACACCCATATAAGAGTGTTGGTAAAACTATACTCTCATACATTCCCCTCTTTGCCTCCAAGGACAAAGTTCTTTGCCTCCACAGACTCCTAAGTGCACCGCTCACCCTTTTACCCTCATCAGTTCTATGATTCACCTCATCTTTCATAGACCCATCTGCTGACATGCCCACTCCCAAATATCTGAATACATTCACCTCCTCCATACTCTCTCCCTCCAATCTGATATCCAATCTTTCATCACCTAATCTTTTTGTTATCCTCATAACCTTACTATTTCCTGTATTCACTTTTAATTTTCTTCTTTTGCATACTCTACCAAATTCATCCACCAACCTCTGCAACTTCTCTTCAGAATCTCCCAGTGTCATCAGCAAAGAGCAACTGTGACAACTCCCACTTTATGTGTGATTCTTTATCATTTAACTCCACGCCTCTTGCCAAGACCCTCGCATTTACTTCTCTTACAACCCCATTTATAAATATATTAAACAACCACGGTGACATCACACATCCTTGTCTAAGGCCTACTTTTACTGGGAAATAATCTCC